CCGATGGCCTTAAAGAACCGCTCCCTCCCCGCGCGGTGTTCATCCTCCCACTCTCTCAGAGGCAGCAACTGCAGCTTCCTTGCTGCTATTGCTTGAAGCACAGACTCCGATAGCTGCTGCTGCTGCTGCTGTCGCTGCTGCTGTTGCTGCGGCTGCTGCTCCTGCTGCTCCTGCGCCTGCTGCTGCTGCTCCTGCTCCTGCTGCTGGGGTAAGCTGTCCCCCGATGAAGCAACGGAGACTTCGGACGATGCGTCGCCCTTCTGCTGCAGTTGATGCTCAGCAGCAGCAGCAGCAGCAGCAGCAGCAGCGGCGGCAGAGCCGTTAGGGGCCGCTTCTTGCTGGGAGTGCATGCGGATGTGTTCTGTGTGCTGCTGCAGTTGATGCTGTTGCTGCTGCTGTTGCTGCTGCTGTTGCTGCTGTTGCTGCTTGGTTTCTGTATAAGGGGAGGCTTCCTTTTGCTGCTGCTCTGTTCTAACTCCAGAATAAGGGGAGAAAAAGCTGCTGTCCTCTGCTGCTGCTGCTGCTGCTGCTGCTGCTGCTGCTGCTGCTGTTGCTGTTGCTGCTGCTGCTGTTTCTGCTGCTGCTGTTTCTGCTGTTGCTGCTGCTGCTCTGGGGAGCGGCTGAGGATGGCCTGGTGGGAGGAGGCGGAGTTCGGGTGGCGTATTTGCTGCTGCTGCTGCTGCTGCTGCTGCTGCTGCTGCTTCCCGTGCTGCTGCTGCAGTTGCTGCTGCTTCTGTCGTTTCTGCTGCTGCTGCAGCAACTTCTGCTGCTGCAGTTGCTGCTGCTGCTGCGTCAGCAGCACAGTCTACAGCTGAGGGACTGAAGACATTCATTGCTAAGGAGTCTCCTTCCGCTGCTGCTGCTGCTGTTGCTGCTGCAGCCAATTCATCCATTGCTGCCGCTGCAGCAGCTCCTGCAGCAGTTTCTGCTGCTGCTGCTGCTGCTGCTTCTGTTTCTGCTGCTGTTGCTGCTGCAGGCGTTACAACAACGCCGCAACGCTCGCAGCCACCGGCTCAACAGCACACCCCGAGGGGGCTGCTGCTGCTGCTGCTGCTGTTGCTGCTGTTGAAATTTAGCTGAGGAGGGGACAAAACAATAAAATAAAAATAAAAATAATTTAAATGATAAATTTGCTTCGGCCTCTTTGATTATTTCGCCTTCGCTGCTGCCGAACGGTCCCCACACAACAGCCGCTAGTCTGCTGCGTGCTGCTGCTGCTGCGTGCTGCTGCTGCTGCTGCTGCTGCTGCTGCTGCTGCTGCTGCTCTCACAAGCATTTATATGCACAAAAGCGGGTATATTTCTGCAGCTTTTTCTCAATATATTTTAAATAACATAAAATAATTAATTTAAACATATTTTGTTTCGTCTTAAACAAACAAACAAATACAAAAAATATCGAAGGGTTTGGGCCGCTCTTAACCGCAGACGACCCAACCGTCGGCGCAGCCCAAACCCTAAACCCTAAACCCTAAACCCTAAACCCTAAAATCCTAAAACCCTAAACCCTAAACCTTAGACCCTAAACTCTAAACTTTAACCCTAAAGGCTAAACCCTACACGCTAAACTATAAACTCTAAACTCTAACCCATAAAGGCTAAACCCTACGCCTTAAACCTTAAACCCTAAACACTAAACCCTAAACCCTACACCCTAAACGCTAATCTATAAACAATAAACTCTGCACTATAGAGCTCCAAATGTCTGCTGCATGTCTCTGTAAGCAGCTATAGAACGGGAAGTGTAAACCCTTTTATTTATTTGGTTGATTTAATAAACCTTTTTCTTTATTTTGTTTGTTTATTTTATTTATTTTACTTGTTTTATTTATTTATTAATTAATCTTAGGGTTTATTACTAGTCGTAACGCAACAAGGGCCTCTGCTGCTCTTTAGTAGCTGTCTCTTCGCTGCAGCAGCAGCTGCTGCTGCTAATGCTGCTGTTGCTGCTGCTGCTAATGCTGCTGTTGCTGCTGCTGCTGTTGCTGCTGCTCTTTGGGTCGGCCGCGAGGCCAGACAGAACTTTATGAGGTCTTCTTCTCTTCTTAAATAAAATTTTGTCTTATATAATTATTTATTGTTTATATTTCTATTACTTCTTTTCTTAAATACTCTTTATTAGCTGCCTCTTTATAAACTATGCTCTTCTGTCGTTTAGAAAGAAAAAGCCGAACTCCTTCTCGGTTATACGATATGAGGTTTTAGGGTTTAGGGTTTAGGGTTTAGGGTTTAGGGTTTAGGGTTCAGAGCAAGAGGGAGAGCAGTCTCTCTCTCTCTCTCTCTCTCTCTCTCTCTCTCTCTCTCTCTCTCTCTCTGTCTCTTCTTTATAAAAGAGAGAGAGAGAGACAGTCTCTCTCTAGAGATATAAAATATTATTATTTAGATGCATGCATTTAATTTGTTTATATATTTATATTTGCGTTTACATCTTCTCAACCTCCCGCTTATTTCTTTTTTATACTTTTTTGTAGTTTTACTCTCTAAGGGATTTGGCTGTTGGGTTTATAATAATAATATTAATATTAATAATAATAATAATAATAATAATAATAATAATAATAATAATAATAATAATAGCATTTATACTAATAAAGATTATACTACAAATAATAATGATGATAATAATAGTAATACGAATAATAATATTTATTATTATTATTGCTAATAATAATAATATTATTATATATTATTACTACTATTATTAACAATAATAATATTAGTAGTATTAGTTATGATAATAATAATAGTAATACACTAGAAGATAATGTAGCAGCTAAAACAACAAATGCTCTGCAGCTACACCGTAAACCCTAAACCCTAAACCCTAAACCCTAGAGATAAGTGAACTCAGCAGACGCCGCCTCGGCGTCTGCTGAGTTCGCTTATCTAATGGCGGAAGACTTAAAAGTGGAAGTGAAGCCTTTAGATGGTTTAGGGTTTAGGGTTTAGGGTTGAGGGTTTAGGGTTTAGGGTTTGATTTTTGATTAAGGAGACAGACCACTGGTGTTGGTCTGGTCCGGTCGGGCACTGCTGCGGTGTCTGCAGAGCTCAAGAGGCTGCATGTTCGTGTTAAATAGAGATATTATTATTGAAATTAATGAACAAAATAAATAAAATAAATTAATATTTAATTTTTTATTGGAAATAAACAAAGAAAATGCAGAAAAGTATGCCTGCTGGCTTCTGCTGCGCTGCAGCAGCAGCGCTGTTGGGGTGTACAGGGAGCTGGGTGCGGTTGCGGTGTATGCATAGAGGTTTAGAATAGAGATTTAGTCTTTATTTCTATATTTTATTATTTGATTATTTCTGTTTCGTCTCTTAAGAGAAACAAGCCCTTGGCGTCACCCCCCTTGTCAGTGCAGCATATTCTCGTAGGGTTTAGGGTTTAGGGTTTAGGGTTTAGCGTTTAGGGTCTGGGGCTAGAAATCGGGTTGTATCCCCTGCCCTGATCTCTCTGGGCCTAAAACCCTCGCCTCTTGCAGGTCGGTGAGGCCAGCACCTGCAGCAGCTGCAGCAGCAGCAGCAGCAGCAGCAACAGCAGCAGCAGCAGCAGCAGCAGCAGCACAAGCAGTTTTGCTTGCCTCCCCTAGTGTTTGGGGCTTTTTGTCTTCACTTTGTTCTTCTTTCAGCCTCCCTGGTGTCTCCTCAGCTCTTTAGCTGCCTTCGGTCCTCCAGGGGCTTTCCACGCAACTCCTTACTTCTGCTGCAGCAGCAGCAGCAGCAGCTGCAACAGCAGCAGCAGCAGCTGCAGCTGCTGCTGCAGCAGGTTTTCTTCCCTGTTTTATCTCCTCGTGGCCTGTGCCCCCTTTATAGCAACTTACCTCCAGTGCCGTCTGCTAGGCAGCTCCTTGCTGCTGCTGCTGCTGCTGCTGTTGCTGCACTTCCGATGAGCGATTGTGGGTAGCCATAGCCCCAGCAGCAGCAACAGCAGCAGCAGCAGCAAGAGCAGCAGCAGCAGTAACGGCAGTAATTGTGTGATTTCTTTCCGTTTTTCTTGTAGCGCCTCGCGAATCCATTCGGTCAGAACTCAGCAGCAACAGCAGCAGCAGCAGCAGCAGCAGCAGCAGCAGCAGCAGCAGCAGCAGCAGCAGCAGCAGCAACTGCAGCAGCAAGATGAATTATGAAGCCTCTGATTGCTTGTTTGGTGGCTTAGAGCTCCCTGCCGACAGCACAAGAGAATGGGGCGGAGACGGCTGGGCAGCAATTCTAAACTCTATGCTGCTGCAGGCTCCTGCAGCAACGGGTGCTGCTGCTGCTTGGCCTTCATTAGGGGGAGATACACTCCCTATAGCCCCTCAGCAGCAGCAGCAGCAGCAGCAGCAACAACAGCAGCAGCAGCAGCAACAACAGTATGAGCGGTGTCTGGGAGGCGTCCGGTTAGCGTGCAGCGACCCTGTAGGGGGTTTTGCTGCTGCTGGGGGCCCCCCTTCTTTGTGCTGCAGCACAGCAGCAGAAGCAGAAACAGAAGCAGATGCAGCAAGCAGCTTCAAGGTTAGGAGAGGAGAGAGATTAAAAAGAAAGAGACACTTTGCAAGCAGCACAGAGACAGAAGTGAACGACTTCATGCCTGGCAGCTGCTCTTCTTCAGCAGAGACAGCAGCAACACTATGGCGTCCCCCCTCTGCTGCTGCTGCTTCTGCTGCTGCTGCTGCGGGGCTGCATGAGGGCTCTAACGGCAACAGACAAAGATACAAGCACCGTAGGCAGCAGCATCAGCAGCAGCAGCAGCAGCAGCACGACAGCGACGACTCCAGTGTCTCTGTAGGGTCTCTTTGTCTCTCCTCCAACACTCACGGTCTTCACCCCCAGCAGCAGCAGCAGCAGCAGCAGCAGCAGCAGCAAGGTTTTAACTTTTCGGTGTCTCCTTTTGGCAGCAGCGCAGGACAGGGACATTCCTCTATGGGTGCCCCTGGAGCAGAAGCCGCAGCAGCAGCAGCAGCAGCAGCAGCAGCAGCAGGAGGCTCTGGAGGTTGCTCAGGAGCTTCTGTATGCAGCAGCTCTGTCGTCTCAACAACTACAGCACCCTCATCATCATCATCAGCATCATCATTACCGTCAGCATCAGCAGCAGCAGGAGCAGCAGCAGCAGCAGCAGCAGCAGCAGCAGGAGAGCCTCACTTAGAAAATGCAGCTTTAAATGACTACGATATGTGTCAGGTCTCTCTCGAGTGGCACCTGCCGGAGCTGCAGGAGACAGAACAAAGACAAAAGGGGACAGTCCCTATCCGCAGAGTCTTCGGCATTAATGCCGGTATAACTTTGTTTAATCTTCATAGAATTATTTGCATATCTTTAGGTCTTGATGAAGAGGTAAGCCTCTCTTCTTCTTCTTCTTCTTCTTCTTCTTCTTCTGTCTCCTTTTGCTGTCTCTTCTTCTTCTGTCTCCTTTTGCTGTCTCTTCTTCTTCTTCTTCTTCTTCTTCTTCTTTATCTTCTTCTTCTTTATTATTATTATTATTATCTTATTGTTTTTTATTTGCTTTTTCTCTTGCTTTTCTTTGTTTTTATCCTTCGTTGGCTGCTCATACTCTTTTAGTCTGCTTTGTTATTACTTCTTTTGCATGCATGCATGTAGGTTTCATGGGGGGACTTCTTTGTTGCTGCTGCTGTTGCTGTTGCTGTTGCTGCTGTTGTTGCTGTTGCTGCTGCTGTTGTTCTTTTGCATTGGGGTTACTGATATTTCTGCTACTGCATATGCTGCTGCTGCTGCTGCTGCAGCAGCAGATGCTGTTGCTGCTGCTGTGACTGTGTATCAGAGCTCCAATCAACTCGGTGATGCGTCTTTCTCGTTGCTGCTGTGTGTGCTGCTTGTGCTGCTGCTGCTTGTGCTGCTGCTGCTTGTGCTGCTGCTGCTGCTGCTGTTGCTACTGTTGCTGCTGCTGCTGTTGCTGCTGCTGCTGCTGCTGTTGCTGCTGCTGCTGCAGCGCATGTGTGCGTTAAACCACGTATGGATATTACCAAACAACACAACATATGGTGGGGGCCCCCTTACGAAGTGCCGAGCGAGCGGCAGCAGCAGCAGCAGCAGCAGCAGGCTGAAGGTGACGACAGATCGTGCAGCAGAATACAGACATTCAATTTGCTGCTATCTTGATGAAGCAGAGAGGGTCCTCCCCAGGCCTGAGAGTGTTCTTATCTACGTCTTAGGCTGCGTTCAAATGCAGGTGCATTACCCTTCTGCTGCTGCTGCTGCTGCTGCATATGCTGCTGCTGCTGCACCTGCTGCATATGCTGCTGCTGCTGCACTTGCTGCATATGATGCTGCTGATGTACTTGCTGGATATGCTGCTGCTGATGTACTTGCTGCATATGCTGCTGCTGCATATGCTACTGCTGCTGTTGCTGCTGCTGCAGATGCTTGGTGCTGTTGTAGTTGATAGTGCTGCCTTAGCTGCTGCTGCCGCTGCTGCTGCTGCTGCCTGCAATGCCGCTGCTGCTGCTGCTGAGTTTGCTGCGATTAAAATGCTGCGTTTAACAGGTCCAGATACTGAGTGTGCTCAGAAACAAGACAAAGCAAAACGCCCTCATTTGGGTGAGCTGCTGCTGCTGCTGCTGCTGCTGCTGTTGCTGCTGCTGTTGTTGCTGCTGCTGCTGCTGCTACTTCTTCTTCAGGACTTGATCTTATTCTGCTGCCGCTGCGATTTGTTTCTGCTCTGTTGCATGCGCATGCACTCTAGCTGCTGCTGTTACTGCTGCTGCTGCTGCTGCTGCTGTTACTGCTGCTGCTGCTGCTGCTGCTGCTGCTGCAGGTGCCTCGTTGTGTTGCTGCTGGCAGCTACGGCGCTGCACCCGGGAATGACGTCAATTGGAATTCACCCGAAGAGGTCTCGCGACATGTCCCCACGTTAGAGATAGACGTCAAAACCATCAACTTGTAAACCCTAAACCCTAAACCCTAAACCCTAAACCCTAAACCCTAAACCCTAAACCCTAAACCCTAAACCCTAGACTGTAAAGCCTAAACCCTATACTCCAAATCCTATGCGTTCGCGAGGCTTTCCAACATTAAACCCTAAACCCTAACTCTAAACCCTAAACCCTAAAATCCCTAAACCCTAAAAACCCTGAAAACCCTAAACCCTAAAAACCCTAAACCCTAAACCCTAAACCTTCACAGCGTTGAGCATTGCTTCAGGGGTTTTATTGAGACGCGTTTCTCGAAGAATACATCCATTTCAAGGCGCACCAAAATGATACGCGCAGACGTACGCCCTAAACCCTAAACCCTAAACCCTAAACCCTAAACCCTAAACCCTAAACCCTAAACCCTCACAGAAAGAGGAATACCGTTTTCAGCTGTTAGCATCGTAGTTAGCAGCACTTGGCCGGCAGAGTTTGCTTCCTTCTTATCCTTCTTCTCCTACTATTACTGCGGCTGCTGCTGCTACTGCTGCTGCTGCTGCTGCTGCTGCTGCTGCTGCTGCTGCTGCTGGTGTTTAGGGTATGGACAACTGCGTGCTGCAGTGCTACAGCGAAAGCATACACGACTTTTGGCGAGACAGCGCTCGAGTGCGGCAGCTATCTATTCGCGTCAGCAGACAGACAACAAGGAGACATATTGAGGCCCCCCCTTCAATCAAGCAGCTAATGATGCAGCAGCAGCAGCAGCAGCAGCAGCAGCAACAGCAACACACGCAGCACCACCAGCAGAGGATGCACCAACACCTGCAAATTCAGCAGCACGCTCACATGCACCAACAACAACAACACACGCAGCAGCAACAGCAACAGCAACAGCAACAGCAGCAGCAGCAGACGCAGCAGCAGCAAACGCATAGACAGCTCATGCAATATGCACACGCTGAACAGCAGCAATTCTCAGTGCTGCAGCAGCAACAGCAGAACAAAGCGCTGCAGCAGCAGCCAGAGCACCAAGGCCTGCATGAAGAAGATGAAGAACAAGGGTTCGGCGCAACAGCACCAGCAGCAGGTGCTGCAGCAGCAGCAGAAGACCCGCAGCAGCTGCTGCTTGTTCCTTACGGAGACACAGAAGCAGGCCCCCTGCAGCTACACCTCAGCAGCACAGACAACGCAGCTGCTGCTGCAAATGAATATATTGCAGCTGCAGAGCTGCTGCCGCATGGGCTTTATGGGGATGCAGCAGCAGCATATCCAACAGCAGCAGCAGCAGCAGCAGCAGGACTGCCTTGGGGCTTCGACGAAAGTCTGTTGCTTCAGGGAACACTACAGCAGCAGCTGATGCAGCAGGGACAGCAGCAGCAGCAGCAGGAGATGCTTGGCTTTGAAAACCTTTTGCTGCACCCAGAGGACTTCTTCCTGCAGCAGCAGCAACAGCAGCAGCAGGAGCAGCTGCTGCAGCTGCTGCAGCAGGAGGGCGTCAGCCCTGAAAATGCGAATCTCTTCCTTGAGCAGCACTTCCTGCTGCAACAGCAGCAGCAGCAGCAGCAGCAACAGGCAGAGCAGCAGCAGCTGCTGTTCCCCTTTTTCGGGTGTCCAGACACAGAAGCCCCCATTGACAGCCAAGGAGCAGCAAAGCTGGCTCTGGAAGCCCCGCCAGCAGCAGCAGCAGCAGCAGCAACAGCAACAACAGCAGCAGCAGGAGCAAAAGATGTTGCAGCAGCTGCAGCAGCAGAAGCAGCAGCACAAGTCTCTGTTCCCTATGATTCTTCTCTTTCCCTGCAGCTTCAGCCTCCTAGTGGGGCTAGCCACGGCTTACGTAGGCATCCCCAGGGGCCCCCAGCACCGGACCCCTTAGGGGCCCCCCGAGGGGCCCCCCAGGACCCTAAGGGGGCCCCTGAAGGGTCTGTTGCAGGGGGGCCCCTAGGGGGCCCCCAGGCCCTGATGGGTACCCCCGAGGCCCCAAGGGGGGGGCCCCTAGGGGGCCCCCAGGTCTTCTTGGGGGCCCCCGAGGTACCAATTGGGGGGCCCCCAGGGGCCCCTCAGACCCTGACGGGGGGGCCCCCAGGGGCCCCACAGGCCCCTAAGGGGGGCCCCCTAGGGGCCCCCCAAGTGGCGATAGACATAGGGAAAGAAGGGATAGAGGGTTTAGAGACAGCTGCGAAGGGCTGCAACACACAAACAGAGACAAATGAAGAGGAACAGCTGCTGCTGCAGGAGCAACTGCAGCAACAGCTGCAGCAGCAACTGCAGCAGCTACAGATGCCTGAAGCTACTACTCCAGCGCTCTTGCGGGCACTGCAGCAGCTGCAAATGCAGCCCTGGGCAGCAGCAGCAGCAGCATCAACAACAGCAGCAACAACTGCAACTCCAGAGCAGCAAACACAAAGAGGGGGCCTTCCACCGCAGGCAGCAGAGACAGCAGCAGCACACGGCAAGCGATAGAAAAGACGCAGAAGCAAGTGCTGCAGCAGCTGCAGCAGCAGCAGCTGCAGCAGCAGCGGCGGCGGCCCTAGCAGCGGCAGCAGCGGCCGCGGCCCTAGCAGTGGCCGCAGCAGAAGCAGCAGCAGCAACATGCACGGCTGCTGCTGCTGCTGCTGCTGCTGCTGCAATCATAGGCCAACTGAGGAGAGGAGACAAACAAATTCACTTCACCTGATGCAACATGGGAAGCGTAAACCTCAGCAGCAGCAGCAGCAGCAGCAGTTATTGTAGCAGCTTTTGCTCCAGCAGCAGTTGCTGCAGCAGCAGCAGCCGCTGCTGCAGCACCGGCTGTTGTTGCAGCAGCAGCAGCAGCAGCAGCTGTGTGTGAGAGCCTCCTGCAGGGAGACGCTGAGGCCCCTTGAGGGCTTTTTTGTTTGCTTGTTTTTTTGTTATGGCTGAGTTTCTTTTAACTGCAAGTAACGCAGCAGCAGCAGCTAGCTAGCAGCTAGCTAGCAGCTAGCCAGTAGCTAGCCAGCAGCCACTTAGCAGCTACATAGCAGCTAGCTAGCATCTAGCATCAGATAGCAGCAGACAGCGGCAGCCGCAGCCGCACACCTCTCCGTATCTCTCGCTGCGTGCAGATTGCTGCAGCTAGCCAGCAACCCTGGCTAGCTAGCTAGCTGTGGCTAGCCAGCTAGCTGTAGGGACCAGCTGCTGCTC